CGGCAGGAAAAATACAACTACAGACAACAGTTTCATGGCATTCTACATCTGTGGTACATCTGTCTTTATTTTTCATCCTCTTTGAAATTGGTTGGCTACTGTGACTTGCAGCCCCATCCACTCAGATTGCTTTGTCTTCCCATCTTTTGGCATAATCTCCTATGAGGCCATGCTCTCTGCAAAGATGAATGGAGGCCGAATGTGAGTCAGAGGCACAAGATGTTTTTTCAAAGCTGTATTTACAGTCCAATGGTATGTATGTTTACCCAGAGATAAGTCCTATTGTTTACTCCCAACATGTAACTATAACATACACTTGCAAGTCACTCGCATCAAACTTTGCATGCCATGTTAACGGCATAACCTGACCTAATTTTTCCACTGTGAAGTAAGCAAAGAGGGGCTAATCTAGATTATGCCCACCATGCATGTTCTTTTACCAAATCCTCTCCTGTCACCTGAGGGCAAAGAGAGGGGGAGAGAGTGAAATACTCCAAAGTAAACATACATGGAATCAGGCTGTTTGTTAACAGTGAGGTCTGAGAAATGTAAGCCTCTTAACTCTACGTAAATGATTGGTGGAAATTATTGGCAATGTTTATCACGAGCCTTTGATGGCCAAGGCATGTCTTTCTGAGGAAATTGTGTTGCAAGAGGAAAAATGGGCTAGCACAGGCAATATACATTCCCTGTTATGTCTAGTTTGACCCCAGATGAACAAACTGGGCTATTTGCAGGACAGGTCAAGTTAGTTTAACATTTTAAGACAAGCCATTGAACGCAGTGGCCTACCTTTTTAAAAAAAATTGTTTTTGTACCTCCCACAAGCCTCCTTTGCAAATGCCCATTTATTCAGCTTGTGTTTATGAGTAACTGTAACAACGTGACCTGTGCTTTTCACATTGCTGTTGATTCTGTCAGCGAGGAGCCGAGTAACTCCAAAAAGAAGGCATGCTGATAGTTTCCCTCAGGAATATTAGTTTACAGGATGCTAGTTTCCAGAATTCCGAAAAGAATAGGATATAAGCAGGAAATGTCATTAGTAGGCCAAAATCAGTAGTAACTGGGGAAATCAGTTTCTTAATATCCTGAGGTCTGCAGAAATAAATAAGAATATTTAGAAATGGGGAGAAATAAGGGGGACCCTCTCCTCAGAATAACCTAGTCAAGACTGAGCATCATCATCAATGACCACAGGATGTTGATGTGGCGGACAGAAAGCTGGAGAGGGGTAGTAGGGTGGAGGTATCCTGGATAGGGAGACCACTTACATGTGTCAAGCAACAGCGGAGGACAATGATTTGCATAAAGTGATATGTGCTGATTTAATGGGCTGGTGCAAAATTGGAATAAAAAAATTAAACAGAAGTACAATGCATTTCATTCAAGTACGGGACACTGAACAGGTGAATGGTGTAGCTACAGTGTGTGCTCTCCAGGTGCTCACTGTGGACGGGCAACATGAAAGCCTCTGATTTCTTTCCTGGTTCTTTCTCTTTAAATCACAGGTGGAATGGACAGCTCTTTAAACAGAAGATATCTCCAAAAGGAGGCCTATCTTCTGGTCAACTTTAAATGGCTGCCTGTAAAAAAAAAAAATTCCTTTGGTGATATGCCCTAGAGCAGGGCATGGATAGCTAGCTGGAAACTTAAATAGGAGACTTCAGTACTTCAAGATATACCGTATTTTTTGCACCATAAGACACACTTTTTTCCCCTCCAAAAGGGGGGTAGAAAGCCTTTGCGTCTTATGGTGCGAAGGTGGTGACTTCGCCCCCACTGGCCCCATGGGGGGGAGCGTCGCAAGGGTCCGAGGGAGCCTTCCAGGACCCTTGCGATGCTCCCCCACCCCACCACGGGGCCAGCGCAGGCGAAATCGCCGGCTTCCTGGTGGGGGGAACATTGCAAGGGTCCTGGAAGCTCACTCAGACCCTTGCGACGCTCCTCCCACCGGCAAAATCGCCAGTTTCTGGGAGTGTTTTGAGGCTTCCCAAGCCTCAAAACACTCCGAGAAGCTGGCGATTTTACCCCCCTGGCCCT